TACTTGTTTGTCTTTTTTCAGTTGTCCCTTAATTTTGTGCCTTTTAATTTTTGCTTCTCTTATACCTCAAGTTTTCAAATGGCTTAACTGTGTCTACTTGAGGCACTTATTATTATTGAAAATAGTTGTCTAATAAATTAAGGATGAAGTGTGCTGCCTGAATGGGCCATTAATTAAAGTTATAGAATTGCCTTTAAAGATTTTTTAAAAATATAATAGGCAAACTTTCTAAAAGAATTTGTGGGAAATTCTGCCAGAGGTTTATTAAGGGACCCATTGTGAGGTCTCTTTATTTCTTTTGTTTCTGTGACTTGAGGTTGTGGAAGTATGAAAAGATTGTAGGTAATTATTTAGAGAGGCTTATTATAGATCCCCTGAAAGCTGAAATTATGCATTAAAGAATGTTCGGGGGCTTTCTTATTTTGTATGTGTCAAATATTTTATTAAAAATATTAGATTGCTGCCATGACTGTGAGGATCATATATTTTATTCTGATTAATGACTTGACAGAGATTATTGGGTAGTGATTGAGTTCTTTATATGGAAGGGGAAGAATGAATATAACAAAGACTGCAAGGACATATAAACTCATATTCCCCTTTACCCTTCTCTTCTTTATTAGTTAATAGATGTATTTTACATGCCAATTATGTGCCAAGCACAGAGGCAGAACCTAGGGAAACAAGGGTAAGCAAAATTATATATAGTCTGTCCTTATCCTGAAGAAGTTTAGCACATAGTAGGGAAGAGAGACATCATATGTAGCACACAATTTTCTATCCATAAACAGATAAAAAGAATGGGATATTGTACTTTCATAATACAAAATGGGGAAAAAACTGACCTGGTCTAAAGAGAGAACCAGAAAACTTTCTTAGTGAAGAATTATTTAGCTGAGAACTATAGGTTGAGTAAGAGTTCATGAGACAAAGAATTGAGCATGAGATGGGCTCCAGGCAAAGGCAGCAGCATGTACAGAGGTCAGGTGGTGATGGTGAGTGGTGCTTTGAGGGAAGGACCAGGAAGACCAGTGTGACCCAAAACAGGCAGGGAGAAGACAGTAGTGTGGGGTGTGACCAAAGATTAAACAGATAAATCATATGGGGACTTGAAAGAGTTTTGTCTTTCTTCTAGATGTATTGGGGTACTTTTTATGAGAAGGTGATGAAGAAATATAGGGAGACAAGTTAGAGAG